ACCATAAGTACTACAAGGCCAACAACTAGAGCCAAGCAGAGATTGCCTTTAGAGGCCCTTTGGAGCCCATGAATGCTCCTGCAACTGGCATAGCTCTGAAGGCTAGCGCCCCCAACCTCTAGGGCATGGATGTGAAAAACAGACACAGCTCAATTTCTAGAAGCACGGGACCTGGAGGCTCAGGTGTGCTCCCCATCCTGGCCTAGGACCCCTATCCTGGGATATGTGCTCATCTTGCCAGGTGATGGTGAACGGGAGCCTCACTATACGGTAGACATAGGTGTGCCCTTCCATGTGTGGACATCTTCTCTGTCACCAGCACTGTGCAGCTGTCCTTCATCAGCCCTCAGGTCAGATGGTCCACCTGGCACCTGTCCCAGGGGCAGGAGGTAGCACCCAGTCTTGATGTGCATAGGCCATGCTGGGTGAGCCCAAATCCAGGTGACTCTGGGGACACACTTCCAGCTCCTGTGTCCCATCCTTCTTGTGTTGCTGTCTCTGTCTGGAACACCTGCCTCCATCTCTCAGACTCCTAGGCCACTCCTCTGTCACTCTCTATTTCCGCTCTGGTTAAGAGGCTGTGTGGTTCTAGAAAGAACCTAGAGTTGGGAAACGCACTGAATGTGTCACCAGATGTGGACCCTAACACGCTTCTCAGCCCTGCTTAAACATCTGACTTTTATGTTTGACGTAATTCTCTTGTCTTCTTGCAAGGTGCAGTTGTTCCGTTACCTAACACCTTGGGGCCTTGAGATTATGCGGTTTTCTGCTATGTTCCAGGAAGAAGCTCTAAGTGACACCCACCCTGGTCCCAGTGGCCTCTGAACCGGCCCAGACCACAACCAAGACTGACACTGCGCAGATGGGCAGAGAGTTCTACTAAAGCAACCTGACCTCATCATCATCACAGATTCCCCTCCTCTGGGAGGGGTGAAGCAGCGATTTTTAGGTCATGCGATGTATCTAAAAACATGACTTCAAACCACGCGTGTGTAAGCTCGTGCCCACCCCTACACGCGATGATCAATCTTCCCCTTTGAGGATTCATTCCCTACCCCAAGTAAAACTACCCCTCTCCCCATGCTCGGGGGACCAGAGTTTTGTGAAATTATTCCCTATTGTCTCGATTTTTCTTTGCTACATGCTCCAAATAAAAGTTCCACTTTGTGAAACGACTACTTCTGGTGCAGAAGGGACCCTCGTTTAGTCCGGTAACAAATGCAGCTTCGATCGCAGCTCTGCCGTCCTCATTGGCTGTGGAATCTTAGACAAGTGATTGGGCCTCTCCCAGCCTCAGTTTCCTCATCTGTGGAAGGGGCATTGTTGCTGCTGCCCCATGGGTTATTGTGTGAGTTCATGAGGTGATACATGTCAGAGGTTACAAAGTGGCCCACATGGGCCCACACCAGGGTCTCCTCGACCTTCACTGTGTTTTAAATTTTTTTGAATGTGTTGGCAACATTTAAAAGGTCAGAGGAAGTGTTGCAGGATGAGAGAGTTCTCGAGCTGGATGGTGGTGGTGCTTACACAACAGTGTGAATGAACTTCTTCGAGCCACTGAACTGCAAACTTAAAAATGGTTAAGATGGCATGTTTTATGTGTATTTTACCTCAAATTTATTTAAAAATGTCAGGAAATATCACATGGAAACCTTGATTTCCGGCCTTTCATGAAAACTGGGAGGACTGGGGTGTGCTGGGCCCACATTCCCGCAGGGCCCTGGAGGCTGGACTGGAGCTGTTGTTACCACTTTCGGTATTGAGTGCACCCCTGAGACGGGGACAACAGACAGAGGCCCTCGGCAAATATGAGCTCCTCTCTCTTTGGCCCTCACTTCTCATATTCCTCCCAAATCAATTGTCTCTGCTACAGGGTTAGGTGGAGACAGAGGGAGAGCGAGAGATGGAGTGAGAGATGGAGAGACAGAGAGAGATGGAGTGAGAGAGAGAGAGATGGAGAGAGAGAGAGAGAAGGAGAGAGAGATGGAGACAGATGGAAAGTAAGCGAGAAATAGAAAGGTGTGTACAGAGAGAGAGCACCATCCTGCTGTCACCTACTGGAGCCCAATCATCCCCGCTGCCCCTCCACGTGGTCCTGAACACCCTCCCGCCCCGCCGCCTGCCTGGCTCTCTCCCTCCAGTCCTGGTCCCTGCCTTTCTGCTGTTCCTTGGCTTCATTAATGCTTCCCTCACCCCCTGGTGTCTCTTGTTTTAACAGGACACCCACACAGCCCTGTCCCGCCTGCCTTCTCCACGAGGCAGTTCTCCCAGGCTGCCCATTTCCGACACAAGCCCAAGGGTGCAAACCGCATCATGGAGAGTCTGGGCAGCAGAGCAGTTAGCAGGAAAGACAGAGGGACGAGAGGCTCATTCCTGCCAGCAGGCCAGCCAGGGCCTAAGGCCCCACCAAAGGGTCACTGCCCCCCCCCCCCAACCACCACCAGGCACCCAGAGCTGGGACCCGGGAGTCGTCCTGGTTCTTCCCTCCCTCCCTTAATCTCTCTCCAGCGCACTATCACCTCTCCCTCCCGAAGCCACTGCCTTGGTCCAGGCCCCCTGACCCCACATCACAAGGACCATGGTCTAGTTCCCACTTCCCTCACAACCACCCACTGTGGCAGTGACCTTCCTGTAAGAAAAGCTGGTCGCATCCTTTCCATGCTGAATAACCCTGAAGGCCGCATGTCCTTCTAAACAAAGGCTAACTCCCCTGGAGGACGTGCAGCATCCTCCCCAGTCTGGCCCCAGCGCAACTCCCGGCCTCAGCCCTCCCCCATGAAGCTCACACAGCCTCCACTGCTCACTCAAGTCTCCCTGGGGCCACCAGGCTTTTGCACATGCTGTCCCAGTGCTGACAGCACCCTTAGCCACCTCACCTGCAGTCAACCCCTAATGCCCTTCAACACTCTGCTTAAATGTCACTCCTCGGGGGCGTCTTCCCTGCCTGGGGGATCACTGGATGCCCCTGCCGCCCAGCCTCCTATGTCGCCATGGACTTTGTACATCTCTGTGCTCTGCCAGTCACTATGTTCTGGTGTAACTGTGCTTACATGTCTGTTCTCATCATTCTCATCACTCCACCCGCAACTTCCCTCCGCCCCTGAGCCTTGCAGGCTGGGACTGTGGCTTGCTCAGTGTGTATCCCGAGCACTCCGCACAGGGCCGGGCACACAGGAGGGACTGGGTAAGGGAATGTGGAATGTGGTTTGCACGGGCAGTAGAAGAGGAAAACCAGTCAGGGCACGAAGATCAGTCAGCTCAGGGGCACAGGGTCCAGGACAGGAAGGGGAGCAGGACTCCTTCCCTCCTTAGGCTCCTGGAGTAGTTGGGGTGGGAGAAGGAGTGTCTGTCCACTAAGACTTTCTGTAGCCCACTGCGGTCCAGCCTGGGCACCTGCCTCCTGCCACACTGGCTTCAGGCCTGGTGGGGCTCCAGGGAGCCCTTGCAGGGCAGGCCAACCTGGATCCTGGCCTGGGGAGGACAAGGTGGATGGACACAACCGGACAGAACTGGGCACCATTTTGGACTTTATCACTTGCTCCCTGGGCGAGCTTGGGCAAGTTGCTTAACCCTTCTGAGCCTGGTTGCCTCACTAGTGGAACAGGAGCTAAGCTTGCCTCCCTCGGAGAGCACTGGAGCCCGAGTCTGGCACACGACAGGCCCTCAGTAATTGCTAGTCTTCACCTTCTGGATGAAATATGTCCCTGGAAGCAATGGCAGCTGAGGGAAGCTGGCTGGTCTACATCAGACAGGTCCTCCTCTCCCTCTGGAGGAGCCAATGGGGATGCCCCCCTCCTGCAACCCTGGCCCTGCCCCCTTCCTAAGCACAGTGAACCTGGGAGGGCGGGGAGATCTGGGGCCACAGGCTCAGGAAGGCTGATGGGAGCAGGAAGGAGGCAAAGGTGAGTCAGGGGGCATTTCTGACCACATTTCTGCCGTGGTCTCACCGTCATGGGGCACTGATGTTAACCGCCATTTTGATTTCCTCGTCCCTTCAGTCTCCAGGAATCAGGCCTGCCAAACCTGCTCCCTTTTCCAGTCTCTTGCTCTCTCCTCAGACCCTCTTCATTTTGGCTCTTCCTGTGGGTTAAAAGGAGGAGACAGGGCCAGGCATCGTGCCCCTCCCATAGGAGGGTGGGGTGACACCCTGACCATCTGCCTGGGTGGGTGGTGGAGGGAGGGAGGTGGGGGGGGTGGACCCTGATTGATTGGGAAACACCCAAAACTCACTTCTTGGCTCAGTCTCCTGCCAATGCGGGCAGCCACAGAAGACCGAGGCCCCACCTTCCATCCCTCCTGCCAAGTGAGGCTGTGCTGGAGAAACTCCACTGGGAAGAAAGGTGGGCCGGACGGTGGGCAGCCAAATTCCTTCTCCAGAGGAAACATTTGCCCCTCCCTCATACCTTTGAGAGAGAGCACCCCTATCCTCCAGTTTTGGGGCTCTTGTCAGGGCCATAGTTACCCACTCAAGATCAACTCACCTCGGAGCACTTTGTTGGGTTCTGCCTTCTTGGGGCAGGTGGTGGTCTCCATGCTGGTGAGAGCTGGTTAAAACCTGAGTTTCTTTCTTCCAGAAGCAAAGAACCATCCACAAGGTGCTGAGGACCCCTCAAGAGATGGACCAGGTGAGTCTCAAAGATCTGGTCAGCTCACAGGCCCACTACTTCCCTGTTTACTGACGACTGGGCTCCGGTCCCAGACTTGGGGAGAAAGCAGTTTAGCAAGGGGATGGGGACATTGGGGCCGCGCCCTCTGCTCAGGAGACGTGGAGTGAAACTCTCCTGGGGACAGCAGATTCTGGACTCACCCAGCGGCCCCAGAGGCAGGTCCCCTAGGGACCAGCAGGAAATTGGCTCCTTCTGTCACTGAGAGGGTCCAGCACGTGGAGAGAAGGCCTTGCATCCTGAGGACGAGCCCCAGGATGTCACTGCTGCTCACAGGATGGAGCTGTTCCTCCTCCTGCTGGTGCACGTCAGACTGGAAGCCTGGAGTCAGTGGGGCTGCCCTGGGTGGAGGGGCAGGTGAGTGTGTTGGGGTCTGGGACGTGGCAGGAAGTGCCACCAAGGCTGACATGAGAAGGAAGTGATGGAGAATCCAAGGGCTGAAGCCTCACGACCTCAGTGTCTCACTGGAGCTTCCCCTCTCAAATGTGTGGCCTCATGTGTGTGTCACTCCCACACTGAATGTCCTGGTCTCTTCTACAGAATCCCGCAATCCCACCTATGGCCTTTCCCAACCCAAACTACGTGACCGTGTTCTCAGAAGGGCTGGAGGTTTTGTCTGCATTGGACAGAGTGGGAGGCGGGGGGCAGTGACAACAGTGAAGCAGTCCTCTAGTGAGCCGAAGTTCCTAAAAACTTCCAAGTAACAAGGATTCTCTTGACAGGAACTTCACCTTTAAATTTGTCCCTTCACCATCAGCATAGCATATGGCCTTCCTTTCTTAGCCCAAGTGTCCTTTTGCATCTGGCCAAGGTCTGTCTGTGACAGTTTAAGCCCATTCATTTGATGAAGGCTGGGAAGTTTTCAGCTGCCATTGCCTGAACCAAGTAAAGGTATCACGGAGTTCTTTCTTGAAAATGTATGACGCGCAGGAACGGTTGTCAAAATCAGTTGACAGTCCAAATTCATGAAAATTGGCACAAGGTGTGTCCTGTTGTGGCAGCTGCCGTGGCTGCTGCTGGCTGACCTGGTCCTCTCCTCCTGACAGCCGATGCCTTTCGTCGCCGAAATGCCAGGTGGGCTGTACCCCTCCAAGGAAATTGTCGTGTGAGGCATTGCCCTGCCCAGCGCTGAGAGGTAAGCCAGGGCTCTGGGGCAGGAGAGAGACAGCCCAGGGTCATTCTCACCACCATCCTGGCTCTGGGCGGGCTGGGGAGGGGCAGGGACCAAGCGCTCAGTGGTCAGAGGAGGTCCATGTGAGCTGCCCACCCCCAGGTTGCAAATCAACTTGTACTCTGGGAATGACATCGCCCTCCACCTGGACATCCGTTTCCGTGAGAACGTTGTGGTCTGCAACACAAAGATGAACGGCATTTGGGGGTCGGAGGAGCGAAGCCCGATTGAAAAAATGCCCTTCATCCCAGGCCAAAGATTCTTGGTACGTTGCTGCAGGCTGCAGCTGAGGGGGTCTCTCGGGGCAAATGGAGTATGGGGTCGGGGACATCTGGGGGCCCTTGAACAAGATGGGAGCTGATGCCTCTGCGGTGAGGGCTGGTCCCAGAAGAAGAGAAAGTGTTCAACCAGTTGTTGTTATTATTTTACTGTTACTGTCCCACATGTCCCACTGTCCCACATCTGCTCTTTACAGATGAGGAAACAGACTCACAAGTGCAGGTTACTGGCCTGAGGTCACACAGATGATACGTGCCAGATGGAGCCCAAGAATGAGGTATCATCCCTGTATTCACTCACTCACTCACTCATTCAACAATCATTTCAGCTGTTGTCTCAGGATGTACTTTGTGCAGGAAGCACCCCAGGGGCTGGGGGTACAGCCTGGAGCAGACAGACTCCCTGCCCCACGGAGTCTGCAGTTTAGGAGGCAGAGGAAGCAGGAAACAAACGCACGGACAGACCCTTGCAGATAAGAACAGGTGCTCTGCAGAAAGCAAAGCAGAATAGAGGGATAGAGTGAGCCCCGGGGCAGGGGCGGCACTGTCTTAGACGGGACAGCTCTCCCAGGAGGCCACCGTGCCCTTGAGACCCCAATGGCAGAAGGAGCGGCCTCGCAAAGATCTGCAGGTGCATTGGGGCTGCAGCAGAGGGAGCCCCTGTTACTGCAGAGGCAGAGTCCTGGGCGTGGCCTGTCTGGGACCAGGGGACGGGGGGGCTCCCAGGTGGATGGACAGTGAGGACAGAGAGGTGAGGGTGGGGCGACTGAGGCCCAGCTCACACAGAGCAGGTGTTCTCAGCCCCGACCACACAGTCAAACCCCTGGGAACTTAAAGAAGGAAAATCAATGCCTGGGCCTGCCTGGGGCCAACGAGGGGGTGAGCCTGGGCCTCCCTATTTTTAAATCCGCCCTGGTGCTCCTCCCCCAGGGTTGAAATGACTGATGTCGGGCCGTGAGGGCCATGGAAAGAGCTGGGATTTTAATACAGCGTGTTGGTGTGTTTCAAGCCAGAGGGCAATGTACTTTGATTTCTAGACAGCTGGGTGACTGTGAGCAAGTGAGTTAACTGCTCTGTGGCTCAGTTTCCTCATCTAAAAATGGGCTAATAATAACAACAATCTCAGAGATGTAAGAATGAAATGAAATCTTATCTGTGACATGCTTAGGACAGTGCCTGGCGGGCAGTAAGTGTACAAGTGTCAGCTATTGCGATGGGGATGATGACATTTTAACAGACATGCTCCAACTGCCTCTTGGAGAAAGTTTGGGTGGAAAAGACAAGTTAGGAGGCTGCCGCTGCAGGAGTGCAAGCGCAGAACACTCCTCTGTACCAGGGACAAGGGACAGGGACGGCACAAGCCAGCATTCCTGTCCCTGGAGGCTCAGGGTCCAGTTGGAGAATGAGGATGGGGCTGGGGGACATGACCTAAGGGGCACCTGACTCGACTAGGAGGGAGTCAGGAGGTGTGCGAGGCAGGGAAGGCTCGCCATCCTGGAGGGAGATTAGCAGTCATCCGTGTGGGCAAGGTGTCCTAAGTGCCGAGCACAGGAGGAAGGGCATTCTGGGCGGTGGGGGCAGAATATGCAAAAGTACAGGGGCAAGAGAATCTTGGGCATGCTGAGTAAAGAACAAATCATTCAGAGCAGCTAGAAGGCAGGTATAGGGCCTGCTTGATGAAAGTGTGAGGAAGGCAGGAATGAGAGAAGGAGACACGAGCCTGCATTTAGATTTGAGGGCTCTCCAAGTGGAGTGCAAATAGCATGGCCTCTCCACCCAGGTGCGCATCACGTGTGAAGCCAACTGCTTCAGGGTGGATGTGAATGGTGGGCACCTGTGTGAGTACTACCACCGCCAGAACAACTTGTCCTCCATCAACAAGGTGGAAGTGGTGGGCGACATCAAGGAGATTCAGATTCAGATGCAGGAGGGATCCCTGGCCTGGGCTCTAGGGCTGGGGCACATTGCTGTCTGGATCTGCTCATCACCTCCACCTTCCCCGTCCCTGCCCCAGCCCCAGCCCTTCCCAGCCTGCAGAGGGTCTCTTTTCTGGGGAGACCACGCCCTTGTCTGGCCTTGATGAAGCTTCAGCCAGCCTGGAGTGCCGAGGGCAGCTGGCTGGGACCACCTTTCTTGGAAGGGCAGTACCTGGGGCTCCAGCTGCCCAAATCCCTCCCTCTGATGAATTGGGTGGTCCGCACAGGCTGCCAGCCCAGCCTCAGTCCTCTGAGCAGAAAGGGAGGGTGCTGGGCCTTCCCAAGTGCCTGGCCCAGGTCCATACCCCATCTGCCTCTCAGCTGCATGCCCAGCCCGTTCAACTCCAGTCAGTGCCAGGCCAGCAGCTCTTCACTCCCTGGGGGAGGTAGTCTCCTCGGCCCCTCCCTGTCTCCCAACTCCCGCCTCTCCTGAACCTGCACCAGCTGTTATCCTGCTCCAGGAAAGCTCCCTGATGACACCCTGCTGGTTTCCACCAACTGACGGGACCCTTCTCAGCTGGGGCCTCTCCACTCCCCGTGTCCTTCAAAGAAAGAAAGAAAAAGACTTGTGAGTACACATGTATGGGATGATTGTGGTTTATTAAATGTATTTAGAGATATTTTGGAATCTCTAGAACCCAGGTGCCCTGGGTGAGGGGAGTGGGAGGAGAGAGCATGGGCTCATTTTGATCGGGGGTGGGGAGTCCTGATATCTACGCCTGCTTCCAGTGGGTCCCCACCAATGTCACAAGGTTCTGGGAGAAAGCAGGCCGGGCTCAGGCTCCTGGGCAGGAATCTCTGATGCAGGAATGTCGGGAGCAGAGGTGAACCCAGGAAACAGCCTCATGCTCCCAAAATGGTCCAAGGGCTGGGCCAGAGCCCTTTGGGGCTGAGGCAGGGCCAGGAGGCCAGGCGGCAGGGCCAGCCCATCAGAGCCCCTTGTCCCAGTGGCAGGAGGTGGCATTGGGGTCAGGAGAAGCTGACTCAGAAGAGAGGCATGTTTGTGGGGTTTCACTGTGGGTCCCCCGCCCTTAGTGGTTGGAGTGTGGTTGGGAAAGTGGCTCTGTGGGTGGGGTTCTGCCAGCCACGGGGCCAGTGCAGGGGGCCCAGCTCTGTGTCCACACGATGCCAACATGTCCTGCCAACTCCGTCAAGAGTCTAGTGCCTCGGGAACCAGGGTGGGGCTCAAAGCGTAGTCCTCAGCCCAGCAGCAGCAGCAGCAGAACCTGGGAGCTTGTTAGAAATGCAGCAACTCGGGCCCAGGGCAGACCTGCTGGGTCAGAGTCTGCACTGTAACGAGAGCCCAGGGGGTTTGTGTGCACATTCGAGGGTGGGAGGCACCCGGCTGAGTGACCGTATTCTTGACCTCATCCTGGATGCCCTGCTGGACACTGGAGGCTGGCATGCCCCTCTCTCCCCATCTGAGTAGGAGCAGCGAGGGGAGAAGTGGGCAGGGAGTCAATGACAAGGAGGCCAAAGCCAGGCTGGAGACAGATTTATCCAGACCCCATTGAGCCCCCGGCTGAGTTCCTTCCTCGTTCTCACCGGAGAAGGAAACCTGGCTCAGCCCCTGAGAAGCCTTCCCCAGGGAAGATGTGTGTCCTTTACTCTCTGCCGAGTCCTTGACACGCAGCCCGACCTCACTTGCTTTCTCACCCAGGTGCCAAATCGTTATTCGCCAAACCCTCATGACACAGGTGGCCCCAGAGCAAAGTACAGTGACTTTCTAAGTCAGGGTGTGGTCCAGGCCTTCACCAGAGAACTGGCATCACGTGCAATGGCACCTGCCACAGCCCCGTGGGAGAGGTCTCCTGGGGGAGATCGGCTCAGGCCCTGCAGGTGAGCCTGTGCTCCCTCAGGCATCCCATGCTTTCCGACGTGCACACATCTCCATGCACTGTCCCTGTTCCTGGCGGCAATCTCGGAGAAGCAGTGTGATTAAGCTGGTACGACCCATTTTGGGAGATGTTTGTCCAGACTGTGGCACCCACCTGTCCCCAGGTGTTTATTTAAAATAAAAGGCATTTCATATCA